CTACTAACCAAAAAGCTGGAGGTTTGAGTCAACTCAGAGGCACCTCAGAAGAAAGGCCTGGCCATCTACTTCCAAAAGCTTGCAGCCATTGAAAATCCTATGGAGCACAGTTCTCCTCTGAAACACATAGGGTCGCCATGAGTCAGAATCAACTTGACAGCAATTAATTTGGGTTTGGTTAATAAGAGTCAGAAGAAAGAGATGTTACCTTTCCGTCCCCTGGACGTGGGATAGCTGAACTGCTGCGTCATGGTGCTGCCAACTTGAGAAGAAAAGGCCACACACCCGGAGAAGGACAGCAATTAGGGAATCACAGAAAAGTAAAGGCAGAACCTGACCTAGCTCTGTATGTCTGGTTATCAAGAGAGTCTATTTCCTTATTGCTTAGGCCAGTTGGGTTGAGTTTTCTGTTTCTGGTAGTTGAAAGCATCCTAACTGATATAGAGGGGTTCAATAAAGCCCTAATTAAATTGATAACTACACTCACTAAAAATAAGATCCCAGACAGTAACTGGTAGTGGTTAATTTTATTATTTTTTAATGCATTTGAAGCAGGGCTTTGAACTGGTTCATTCTGGTTCAAACCCTTGCTGAAAATTTGCATTTCTAACAAGCTCCCAGGCAATGTTAACGCTACCAGTTAGGAAGCAGTTCTGAGAACCACTAGTATTGCAGTGGTTCTCAAAATTTATCACACATAAGAATCACCTGGGGATCTTGCTAACCTGTAGCTTCTGATTCAGTATATCTGGGGTGGAAATGCAAATTCTCAGCAGAGGTTCTAACCGGCATGAACCAGTTCGAAGCCCTGATTTGAAGCTCTCTATTCCTTAGTACTGTTCTTAGTCACAGGTTCAGTTAAAAAAGCATTTCACTCATTTAGTGATAATAATGCTTTAAAACAGTGGTTACCAATCCTGGCCGCAAATTCGATTAAGTAGAATTTTTTTTTTTTTTTATGCTGATGCCTGGGCCCTACTCCCGACCAAGCATTCAGTATCTGTCGAAAACCCTTCGGCCCCATCTCCCTGCTTGCTCACTACGATGTAGGCCATGCGGGTCTCCTTCCTTTCTGTTCCTCAAGTATGCCAAACTCCTTCCCAGCACCAGGCATCCTGCCCAGTTTTCTGCTAACCCAGCTTTTTTGCAAAGCTGCCTCTGCCTCACCTTTCTGGACTCAGCTTAAATAATCTCTCCTCGGAAAGGCCTCTGCTGATCATCTGATCACAAGTCGTATCCCAAACCTCTCCCATTCAACCTGACAGTCTCAAATAGCTCCTGCTGCAGTATGTAATTAGGGGTTATTATGAAATAAATGAACAGAGCTAAGTCATTCAAACAAAGAGCTTTAATACAAAATAAAAAGAGCTATGAGATTTCAGGAAACACATAATTTCCAGCTGGGATGGTTGAGGAAAGCTTTGTGGAATTTTTGAATTAGGTCCTGACGTCATGTAGGATTTCATTTGTTGAGATTGGGGCCGTGGCATTTTAGAAAGAGTGAACACCTTGAGTGAAGGAAGGAGGTGGAAAATGGCAGAGAGAATATGGGGAAAAGGAAGTGTTTGGCCAGCAGCTGAGGGAAGCAGGGGAGAGAGCTTTTGAAGGGGTAAGACCTAATGAGGGTCTTCACTGAACAATAGCTACTTACAGTAGGTGTTATGAGGTAATTCCAGCTGGGATGGAGAAAGAGAGGGCTGCCGGACTAGAAGAGCAGCTCATTTTAGGCAGAAAAAGAAGGTAAAAGGCATTTGGGGGGACAGTAAATAACTTTGACTGACGAGGAAACAAGCCTTCAGAAGTAGAGATAAAAGCACAAATTGTCTGGTAAGCCACAACCGCTTGGGGGCGCTGCAGGCTTCGTGACTAAAACCAAAGTCTGTCCCAGTAGCACCCTCTTCCTGCAGATGTAAGCACTGCACCTAACGTGGCTGACCCTCTTTGATTAAAAGGCACCTGCCAATTTCCGAATATACCTGTATGTTTCTTATTTGTAATAGCTTGGTGAGGATTTTGTTGTGCTTTCAGGAAAAAAAAAAAAAAAAAAAAAAAACACATAAAAAGGAATGCAGCTTTAAATAAATACAACCCACTTTTCTTCAGCTGTATTCGATTCACACAACCGCACCTGTTAGTGAATCCTTACATGGAACTCACTCAAGTGTGAACCCAAACTTGGGGATGCCTTAAGATTTGACAACCACTCAGTGAAACTAGACAGAGCTAGCATCTCTGCCCTCTGACTAGACCAAAGACCCTTTGATGGCAGAAACATGTTCTCATTCATTATTGCATCACTATATGTCCTGACATGTATTTGTTGGTCAGAGGGTCCTCTAAGTGTTCACTAGGGATTGTGTTGCCCTGATAGTTCCCTTTATTCTTGAGAAAATGATATGAAAGCCCTTTTCCCTTTATACAAAATGAAAGGATGTTAGAACCGGCAAAACTATGGAAGATAATAAAGTGAAAAAAGCAAGGTGCAGGACAGACTATACAGATCAGCATCCTACCTTTTGTGTGAGGGGGTATTAATATATATTAATGGTTGCTTGTATATGCATAGAGAAACTCTGAAAGTAAATACTATCATGGGGAAACTGGATGGGTGGGGGGACAAAGGCCTTCATTTTATACTCTTTTTAAAAAAACTTTTTTAAATGTTTGAAACGTGAAAAATATTACCTATTCATAAAATTAAATTAGGAAAATACTATGGAACAATACAGTAACTGTGAATTATAAAAAGTTTCTAAGATTGGTTTTTAATTATCACTAAATCCTATTAAAGAAAACCCTTGTATGAATGCTCCTTTTAAAATCATTGTATTGTTTTTAATAGGTATCATAAAGAGATTGTGTATTGTCAAGTTCCCATCTAAAAACCTCACATTTTACATTTTTAAGTCAAAATAAAACAGTATGATAGTGTGACTCCTTTAACTCAACTGTTACAAATTTAGTCACCCACCCTACAAAGTGTGGAGAGAAGAGTCCGTATTAGTATACAAAAAGTCGCGTTAGTATGCAAAAGACATACGTGTAAGAAAGTACTTTGCAGCAGCATTGCAATATCAAAAACTTGGGAACAAATGTTTGGTGGACAGGTTAAATGAATCGCAGTATGCATACAAGGGAATACTAGCAGGAGTATTAAGATTGAAATAGGTCTAGATGTACTGTCATGGAACGATGTCCGTAACTGCCCAGTCCAAACCAAAAAACCAGGCTGAGGAACATTGTTGAAAATGGCCATACTTTTGTATGCATGTATGTATTTATTACACAGGGTCAAAGTCTGAAAGAATACCACCTATCTGTTAAAAGTAGTTCTCTCATTTCTGGGAAGGAAAAACGGGCAATTGGTTAGGAACTTTCGTGGATTACTACTACTTTTGACTTTACAAACTTACACATATACGATCAGAAACATCGGAGGCAAATGTATTTTCCCTGGCAGTGAACTTACATGGAATTTTATCAATGATTCTATTTAAGTGCTTGTATTGCCACTGTGATTGCTTCCCCAAAACCCTTGAACTTCAAAGTACTTCGGGGAAACCAAGGTGTTTTCGCTTCCAGTTAAGCATCCCTACCCTCAACCCCCACAGCACCCACAGAGCTGCTTAAACTGATGCTCACATGCTCCAGTGCCAAGAACAGCTCCCTGCAAAGCACGTAGGATCTCCACTGCCCACAATGGACCCAGCTGTTAACGCAGAAATGACCCATTATGAGCCACTGAACCACTTGTACTCAATTTCTGGATGTAATTTTGAAACCTCTTTTCAAAAGACATTCACTACACTTAGAAACTTGCAATCTCTAAACACTTCAGTCTGGATTTATTTCCTACTCTGTGAAGTTACATATTCCCCACAAAAACGTCCAGGCGGTGGAATTCCTAGGGGTCTGGTAATGTTTGCCACTTGCGTGTGCTAGTTACAGAAACTCAGCGAGCCACGTATAAGTTATGTGCAGCTTTGTCAAAGTGATAAACTGCCACTAGTGAATGTGCATATCATTATGGGAGTTCTCAAGTAGTGCCAATTTTCATTAGCAACCTCTAAAGCACGGAGGGTTTTCAATGTTCTTACCACTGGCCAGCACAGAATTCCCCTACAGCAGAGGTTATGAACCAAGAGGGTATGCTTTGTTGAAAACTATTCCTTCTTTCAAGTCCTTTAATAGGACCTCTGGATCAGAGTGCCCACTGCCCAGAGCTGCTACTTTATATTAAGCCAGCTTCCCTACAACTCTCAAGTCCGGTTGCAGGCATGATACAGAAAGCTAATTCCTTACCAGCATCACTCCGTGTTCAAATGATTTGGCAGGGCAAATGCCACTACTGTACATTTTGTGCAGGCCAAAGGCCAACTGCTTCACCCACCAACTTGTTATCAAAACTTACAAACTTGTACAAACCCTTTACATGTAGTCACCACACCAAATTCTAAGTTCCGTCTTGACAAGCTTATCCCAGCAATAATTCAACCAAGTTTTCATTCTTTAATTATCCAATTCCTATTTGAACTTTTAAACGTAATTAGTACACTCTGCTCAATAGTTACTTGCCACATACTTATTTTAAATGACCCAATCATGACTTTTCACAGCTCAGTGTGACTTTAGTAGAGCTATGTATTAAAGCTGATTTTCTATAGCTCCTTCCCACCACCACTCCAAGCCTATTTAACTTTTCTGCTAGTCTGTTTCCCCCCATTCTCAGGTACCACACATCACACCCACACGTGTTTTTTATAGTCAACAGCTTGCAAGTAAATCTACGTTAAGTGTACAAAGAAGAAAACCTCCCAATAGCCTAGGTTTTATTTCCACCCATCCACTTCATTTCTGTACTGTGGTCATGTTTCAAGGGCCAACATCTTACCTTCTCATGGTTCCCACTGAAACAACTTGTTAACCTGCAAACCACCTTAATTCCCCAACACCCCAACCAAGCCCAGAAAGAACCTTAGCACTGAAAATAAACAACACTATTTGGGAATGCAACAACTTTATTGAAAGAAAAGTGCAATGAAATTTCTTGAAAGCTTAAGAGGGAACACCTTAGACACCTCCCCTCAAGCGCAGGACCAGGTGCAGCGTGGACTCTTTCTGGATGTTGTAGTCAGACAGGGTACGTCCATCTTCCAGCTGCTTGCCAGCAAAGATCAACCTCTGCTGGTCAGGAGGAATGCCTTCCTTGTCTTGGATCTTTGCCTTGACATTCTCAATGGTGTCACTGGGCTCTACTTCAAGGGTGATTGTCTTACCGGTCAAGGTCTTCACGAAGATCTGCATTCCCCCTCTTAGACGGAGAACCAAGTGCAGAGTAGA